TGTTGTTGCTACAGCTGTTTTTGTTGCTACAGCTGTTGTTGTTGCTACAGCTGTTGTTGTTGCTACAGCTGTTGTTGTTGTTGCTACAGCTGTTGTTGTTGCTACAACTGTTGTTGTTGTTACAGCTGTTGTTGTTGCTACAGCTGCTGTTGTTGTTGCTACAGCTGTTGTTGTTGTTGCTACAGCTGTTGTTGTTGTTGCTACAGCTGTTGTTGTTGTTGCTACAGCTGTTGTTGTTGTTGCTACAGCTGCTGTTGTTGTTGCTACAGCTGTTGTTGTTGTTGCTACAGCTGCTGTTGTTGTTGATACAGTTGTTGTTGTTGCTACAGCTCTTGTTGTTGTTGCTACAGCTGTTGTTGTTGTTGCTACAGCTGCTGTTGTTGCTACAGCTGTTGTTGTTGCTACAGCTGCTGTTGTTGCTACAGCTGTTGTTGTTGCCACTACAGCTGTTGTTGTTGCCACTGCAGCTGTTGTTGTTGCTACAGCTGTTGTTGTTGCTACAGCTGTTGTTGTTGTTGCTACAGCTGCTGTTGTTGTTGCTACAGCTGTTGTTGTTGCCACTACAGCTGTTGTTGTTGCTACAGCTGTTGTTGTTGCTACAGCTGTTGTTGTTGCTATAGCTGCTGTTGTTGTTGCTACAGCTGTTGTTGTTGCTACAGCTGTTGTTGTTGCTACAGCTGTTGTTGTTGCTACAGCTGTTGTTGTTGTTGCTACAGCTGCTGTTGTTGCTACAGCTGTTGTTGTTGTTGCTACAGCTGCTGTTGTTGTTGCTACAGCTGCTGTTGTTGTTGCTACAGCTGTTGTTGTTGCTACAGCTGTTGTTGTTGCTACAGCTGTTGTTGTTGCTACAGCTGCTGTTGTTGTTGCTACAGCTCTTGTTGCCACTACAGCTGTTGTTGCCAACAAATCTAAGAAATATCGCTGGAGCAACGTTGAAAGCATTTCAAAAGAGAACTGGACAAGTTTTCTCTGAAGTTACCGGATCAGCCAGGCTGTGATGGCCTGCAGGCTACGAAAACAAGCTCACAGGTGCCCTCACAGCCTTCAAAAAAGTCTCACAGACTGGCCAATCCCCCCCAAGGTAGGCTGGCCAGAGGCAGCTTTTCTGGTATGTGCTGTGAGGCCCAGGTGAATTAAATGTGTGTGTGTGTGTGTGTGTGTATATATATATGTATATAATATATAATATATATATATATATATATATATATATATATATATATATATATATATATATATATATATATATATATCTGTTTGAGTGTTTTCTAGCTAGAAAAATATGGTTTTCGGTTTCTTGACACCTCAAGCTCAAGATGAACGACACTGCTGCCAAGATTGATCACCGGTGGGAAGCTGTCAAGCTCTCGTTAGCCGGAAGTCTTCGCTGGCGAGAATTGTAATGCGATAACCCATTTATTTCTCTTGATTTTATATTGCCTCCTGCCGCTGACTTGACTGACGAGGCCCAACTTTCAAGACGTTATAATTTAATTGAAGATTCATCTTTGCTTTCTTTCTTCACTCGGAAGGAAATCAGATTTATTTTCAGTAATTTATTTTTTGTTTTTCTTGCCTGTGTTTTATTGTATATGTTTTTTCGTGATTCGTTTTGAAGGGTAATCTATTCTTTTGTTTCTAATTCTTATTTTGACGTGCTTTGTTAATTAATTTTAAATATATAGTCAAATTTTCTTTCTCTGGTTCTTTCTGAAGTGGTGAAGTTCCTACAGATGGGTGAAATTTAATGAACAATTATTTTCTAATGTGGTGAAGAGAGACACAAGGAAAGGAAGACGGAAGAGGAATGAGAAGGTGGGAAAGGAGGGGAAAGATGCATTGAGGGGAAAACGGTAGAAATTATTTTACACAAACTCAATTAATCGACATAAAAAATACAACATCGGTATTAAATTATAGTATTAAAATATACTCTAATCTGGACTACAATTACTAATCAAAACTACATTAGAATATAGATACCATGATCACCAATTAAAAGCTACAGCTTAACTCAGTCGAGCTGTGATCAGCCAATCAGAAAAAAAGCCTCTGAAAGTGCACGGTACGAAATCTAGTGAACCAATCAGGTTAAAGAGGAAATCGAATCACTGCCTTGATTAGCCAACCAGAATGTGAGGACGCTGAGGTGTAATATCCGTCATATTGATGGAGAACAATATGTGATGATTGGGGGGGGGGGTTTCTCCCCCGAGGTTTTCCTAAGGGGAGATATGTGCTAAAGATATGATATTTTTTCATATTTCTCCTGTCATTCTCATTTTCTCTTGGCGTTCCTCTCTCGCTCGCGCGCGCGAAGATGGGACATATCTCTCACACAATTGACGTCTCTGACGTCTCTGTCTCTTGCAGAGTTAATTGGTATATGTCTCTCTCGCGGAGTTTGGTGTATGTCAAAGTGTTTCTGTGTCTACGTCTCTCTCTCTCTCTCTCTCTCTCTCTCTCTCTCTCTCTCTCCTCTCTCTCTCTCTCTCCTCTCTCTCTCTCTCTCTCTCTTTCTCTCTCTCTCTCTCTCTCTCTCTCTCTCTCTCTCTCTCTCTCCTCTCTCTCTCTCTCTCTCTCTCTCTCTCTCTCTCTCTCTCTCTCTCTCCCTTTTATATATATATATATATATATATATATATATATATCTGGTAAAGAAACGGAGAGAGAAAGAAAGCAGAGGAACAGGAGGGAAAGACAGAGAAATCCTCTATGGCTGAAATCCCCCCTCCCCCTCTCCCCTCGATAGGAGGATTCTGCCTCCAGCGTGGCGGTGAGAGTCTGTGTAATCCCGCTTAGCTCCTTGACAGATCACGGGATGCCAACCGGAGGAGACTAAGCTCTTCGCCCGAAATCTGTGCATCTCTCCTCAATCATGGCAGATTTTTTTACATTATTAGACAGTTGATGAGCTCCGAACCAGGTTATTGTTAGCAATAACCAGGTTATTGTTAGCAATAACCAGGTTATTGTTAGCAATAATAACCATGGAATGTGACGTTTCAAGGCTTATAATGTGTTTAATAAACATCAACAAAGCCGCCGTACTCGAACGAAAGATGAATAGGTTTCGTATCTGAAGTGGAGTTAATAGCCAGCTTGTGTAAATGTCCCCCTTCAATCACTGGGCTGGAATTGCAATGGGAAATACGGCATGGGATGCTGCAAGGGATGCTGCATGGGATGCTGCATGGGATGCTGCAAGGGATGCTGCAAGGGATGCTGCATGGGATGCTGCAAGGGATGCTGCATGGGATGCTGCATGGGATGCTGCATGGGATGCTGCAAGGGATGCTGCAAGGGATGCTGCAAGGGATGCAAAAGAGATTGCAATAAGGATGGGACGCAGATGGGAATGCGGCTGTGATATATTGTGGTAGGGGATTGTGGCAGGGGATTGTGGCAGGGATTGGGAAAGAGATTGTAGTAGGGACCGTGGCTTAGATGTGCTATAGATTATGGAAGGGATTGCGGCAGGGAATTTAACAGGAATTGTTTTAAAAATTGGACTTGAGATGGTGACAGTGATTGTGACAATGATGGTGACAATGATTGTGGCAATGGTGCAACCGAGATTAAGAAACCAATTAGGATCCAAGAGCAAGGAAGAGCAATACCAATAAAGCAGAAGAGAGTTTGTTTGGAAAGGGCCGAATGAGGGGGAACGAGGTGGATGAAGAGAGAGGAGAAAGAGAGAATGAAGAAAGAAAAGAAAGACGATGGGAAAGGAAAGGGAGAGAAGTAGTAGTTAGACTAAGAGAAGAGGAGCAAATGGAGGAATAGGAAAGGAGAGGAAGATATGATGAAGAGGAATATATGAAGATAGAAGAGAGGAGGGTTATGGTATATGATATAAAGACGTAGTCATAGAAAGGGGGGAAAGGAAAAAAATGAATATAAAATAAAAGAGAAAAGGAGACAAATGATATGAATGAGAAAGGTAGAGAGAAAGAAGCTAGATATGTATAGGAGAAGAGAAGACGAATATAGAAAATTGATGAGAATGAGAGGAAAAAGGGAAAGGCCGATAAGAGAAGGAAGAGAAGAGGTAACAGCATAGGTGGTGAGAGAGAGTATCTGTCAATATTGGACTTACTGGAGGTGGTACGCTGGGGTGAATCGGATCAATAATCTATGAATTATCGCTGTAAACACCCATGGAAGGGGTGGATCCCCTCCCTTGAGGGAGAGAGAAGGGTAGGGTAAGGGCAGTGTTGGTGTGAGAGGAAGCCAAGGGTAAGTTGTCATGGAGAGAGGGGACTGAGAGGGTGCAATGTTGCCATAGAAGGAAAGGGAGAGAGAGAGAGAGAGAGAGAGGTGATATTAAGGGGGGGACAACGCCCCCTGATAGTCTTGAAAAGGAGGAAAATTATTGCCATAGGATGACAAGGGTGGGGATTAGGGGGGGGGGGTAGGATATAATATTAAAGGGATTCATACTTTTTTCTATCACCTCCCTTTCCCTCCCTTCTCTCTCTCTCTCTCTCTCTCTCTCTCTCTCTCTCTCTCTCTCTCTCTCTCTCTCTCTCTCTCTCTCTCTCTCTCTCTCTCTCTCTCTCTCTTTCTCTCTCTCTCTCTCTCCCCCCAGCAGGACAACCGTGCGTGTTTGCGTGTGCGTGCGCCTCTTTGCGTACAGACCAACACACGCTAAGATAAACACCAGTAACACCTGTCAAATATAAGAAAAAGTTAAATTAGGTCATCGCGTGGCAGCCCCTCCACCTCCCCCCCTTTCCATCTCCCCCCCTACACCTGAACCCCCTCCCCCCCCCCTTTCCAATTACCCTTGGTTAGACCACCTGTGGCTAACCTCCACACATCATATATAATCACCTGGCGCAGATGTGAGAGGAAACAGATGTTCGCCCGAAGTACAGGTGTGATGGGGGTGGAACAGGGCAGTAAGAGGAAGAGGAAGGGGACAGGGAAGTAAGGGGGAGAGGGGGAAACAGGGCAGTAAGGGAAAGAGGAAAAGGGGAAACAGCCGGATAGTAATCATGGCAATTCACGAGGCTGTTGGCTTCCACACCTGCGCCGTTTCTCCAATGGACACCTGTACCGTTCTTCCAAGGAACACCTGTACCGTTCTTCCAAGGAACACCTGTACCGTTCTTCCAAGGAACACCTGTACCGTTCTTCCAAGGAACACCTGTACCGTTCTTCCAAGGAACACCTGTACCGTTCTTCCAAGGAACACCTGTACCGTTCTTCCAAGGAACACCTGTACCGTTCTTCCAAGGAACACCTGTACCGTTCTTCCAAGGAACACCTGTACCGTTCTTCCAAGGAACACCTGTACCGTTCTTCCAAGGAACACCTGTACCGTTCTTCCAAGGAACACCTGTACCGTTCTTCCAAGGGACACCTGTACCGTTCTTCCAAGGAACACCTGTACCGTTCTTCCAAGGAACACCTGTACCGTTCTTCCAAGGAACACCTGTACCGTTCTTCCAAGGAACACCTGTACCGTTCTTCCAAGGAACACGTGTACCGTTCCTCCAAGGGACACCTGTCCCGTTCTTCCAAGGAACACCTGTACCGTTCTTCCAAGGAACACCTGTACCGTTCTTCCAAGGAACACCTGTACCGTTCTTCCAAGGGACACCTGTACCGTTCAACAGAGCAAAACGGCTTTATTCTAAGAGACACAGCTGAGACTTCTTACCTTAGCGTAAGGCCTCCTGGAAGGTGCAATAAACTAGGTGATGTGTACTTAAAGCCAAAGTCTTCCACAATATCAAACGTCGACAGGACATAATTGCATTAGACAACCGGAGGCTGTCTAATGGAGGGGGGGGGTCTAAGGGGGCCCTAAGTTGGGGGCCCAAGAGCTGAAGCTCGAGCTTGAAATCCCAAATAGATTAATTCACATACACCCCGAAATCTCTATGTCTTTGCTCGATCATGGTGGCCCATATAACGATTTGGGATGGGACGAAGGGTGGGGGATGGAATGGTGCCCCAACTATTTGTGGACGGTCGGGAATTGACCGCCGACCTGCAGGAAGCGAGACCGTCGCTCTACCGTCCAGCTTATTGTTCAATCGACAGTACCTATCTTGAGGTTATCTTGAGATGATTTCGGGGCTTTAGTGTCCCCGCGGCCCGGTCCTCGACCAGGCCTTCACCCCCAGGAAGCAGCCCGTGACAGCTGACTAACTCCCAGGTACCTATTTACTGCTAGGTAACAGGGGCATTTAGGGTGAAAGAAACTTTGCCCATTTGTTTCTGCCTCGTGCGGGAATCGAACCCGCGCCACAGAATTACGAGTCCTGCGCGCTATCCACCAGGCTACGAGGCCCCCTCGTAGCCTAGTCGCAAAAACCCGAACAACACTACAAACGAAGTATAGAAAGAAAAATACACGCAAGAGGGAGAAATATGGGAGCAATGAAATATATTTTAAAAACCAAAAAAAGAGATTTGGAGAGACGATCTTTGTACACCGTACCTTTCATAGCTAGCACCATTCACTCAACAAACACTTTGGCCCAAGTCACACAGCCAGTTATTCATGCTTGTTTTGTGTCCAACCACTTAGTCTCGCTTTATGCAGGTCGGCGTTCAATCCCCGACTGTCCATAAGTGGTTGGGCACCATGCCTTTCCCTCCCGTCCAATCCCAAATCCTTATCCTGCCCCCTTCCCAGTGCTATATAGTCGTAATGACTTTTCACTTTCCCCTGATAATTTCATCCCCTCATGGCTATTTCATCCCTCTTTTTGGCGATTTCTCCCAAGACGAACTCGGAAAAGACATCAAATTAATAGTTGTTAGAGGACTTGCCATCGCCGTAACACCATTTTAAAAATTTAAAAAACTATAATATGAAATTAAGATATACAGCCGAAAACTTCGAAGGCATATGATCTACTAAGCTGTCGTTAGCTTAGAAGATTAACTTCGAAGTCTAACTTAAAAGACTCATCTAACTAAGATGAGTTAGCACAGGATTCTACAAGCCCATTTCAATGAGTAAATTTTGGTGAGTGGCAGAATGAGAGGCAGCAAATTGAAAACTCCTCCAGACTTATCCCGGGTCAGGGCAAGAGATTCTGCGAAAGATTAAGAGGGAACCGAACCCCGCTGTTGGCGAGTTGTTGTTGTTGTTGTTTTAGATATAGCTACTCAGAACGAAGTGTCCATGTAGCACGGGCTATGGCGAGCCCGTAAATCGTTGGCGAGGAGAACGGAAGTATACATGGTCACGATGGATGCTGAGAGCAGGAGAGGTAGATGCTGGGGGCAGGACAGATGGATACGGTGGACAGAAGGGAAGATGGGAATGATGGATATAAAAGAGGGAGTTATCAACAATGTGGACAGACATAATGATTACGGCATGAAAACTGCAGATTAAACGAACACCGTGGGTAGCTAGTCTCTAATAGGCCACTGGGACACTAAACTACATTTTGCTTATATAAAATAAACTATATAAGTATCAGAACTCGGGGAAAAGTCAGTGGAACAAGCCTCGGTGCCTGAAACTAGTCGATTAAAGATCAACAAGTGGTGGCCAGGAGCTGAAGCTTTACTCCCACAGCAACATATAGGTGTACAAATAGGTAAATACGTCCATAGACCGAGTACAGCGGTAAAACAAATTCGTTTCTCTAGATGGAATGGCAAATAACTATTTCTCTCCTGACAGATGAGGTTAGGTACGCAGCGTAATCTACTTTAAACATGTGTGTGTGTGTGTGTGTGTGTGTGTGTGTGTGTGTGTGTGTGTGTGTGTGTGTGTGTGTGTGTGTGTGTGTACCTTGGATCTTTCCTACGTCCTAGCAACAAAAATAATTTGCATATCCCCGTCTCACAGGTGTTAGTCTGGCCCGCCGGTCCTCAATCAAAGGAGGAATTGAATCAATATATTTCAGGTGGCTATAAGCACTGACATATGTATCTGCATGTATGTATGTATGTATGTATGTATGTATGTATGTATGTATGTATGTATGTATGTATGTATGTATGTATGTGTGTGAGCCTTGAATGCCTCACAATTTATCACATCTTCTTATCACTTGCCGGTCGTTTCAGTGCATGAAATATGCTAATTTGTGGGTAATAAATATGTTCAGTTTCGTGATTTTTTTCACATTTTTCTTCTCAGGAATTTAAATTAACACATAAACTGGGTTTTCTCTCTCTCAGTCTCTCTCTCTCTCTCTCTCTCTCTCTCTCTCTCTCTCTCTCTCTCTCTCTCTCTCTCTCTCTCTCTCTCTCTCTCTCAGTCTCTCTCTCTCTCTCTCTCTCTCTCTCTCTCTCTCTCTCTCTCTCTCTCTCTCTCTCTCTCTCTCTCTCTCCCTCTCTCTCTCTCTCTCTCAGTCTCTCTCTCTCTCTCTCTCTCTCTCTCTCTCTCTCTCTCTCTCTCTCTCTCTCTCTCTCTCTCTCTCTCTCTCTCTCTCTCACTCTCTCTCTCTCTCTCTCTCTCCCTCTCTCTCTCCTCTCTCTCTCTCTCTCTCTCTCTCTCTCTCTCTCTCTCTCTCTCCACTTTCAAGTATTTAGTGACTATTTTCATAATGTGTTTTCCATCGTTTTAATTTACCGTAGAATCAAGAGAATTCACAAAGTAACATATATTCGAAACGAAAAAATATAAATATCATTTATATTTTTTTCTGAAACACACACACACACACACACACACACACACACACACACACACACACACACACACACACACACACACACACACACACTCACCTTATCAACATAAAAGTATTTAACTAATTATTCTTGAAGGGGGATGAGCTTCAGCCCATTGATCCCGCCTCTCAATCGAATGAGCTATATATCTTTATCTGTAGCTATGTATTTAATAGCCTGCCTCCACCACTTCACCTCTTGGTGTATTCTACTTACTGTATTCTCTACTCTATCACGTACCATATATTGCAAAAGCTGTTCTTGTCTATCCTGCTTTTTCCCTCTGAGAATTTTGTATGTGGTAATCATGTCTCGCTTGATTTATTACGTTTTCGAAGACAGTGAGGTTTATTTCCTTGGGTGTAATTAATTTACACTCTAATTAATTCGATGTAATTTCGTCGTAATTAATTTTTCGCTCCTCTGGTGCCATCCTTCTAAACTTCAGAGACATTCTGTGTTTACCGAGTTAAGGAGCCGATGCTGTAGAGTTCCTCTGTTCAGATTTCAAAAAGCAGAAGTTATGTTGGTAATCCTTGCATGTGCCACATGATGTGGGATTCAGGAGAAGGATAAGTGCGTTATCCAGTCCCAGGAGGGTTTCCTCTCTCGGTTGATAGCTTGTATTCCGTTTCAGAACCATGACTTTACACTTGCTTGAGTTAAATTCTAGTAGCCACTTTTTGTACCATTTAGCCACTTTTTGTATCATTTCTTCGGGTTATTCAGGAAATCTTGAAGTTTCTTCCAGTATTCAATAGTTTCTTAATGTTTGAGTCATTAGCAAATATGTGTTTGATTGAGTTTGTGTGTTTGGGCGAGTGGATGCTTCTGTGTGTGGATTGGTTTGGGTTTTATGTGCGTATAGGTATGTACGTAAGTTGATTAAGGCTTATGTATGTGGGGGAATTTATGTGAGTGTGTGTGTGTGTGTGTGGTATGTGTATGTGTGTGCGTATGTATATGTGTGTGTACATACTATGTATTTGTGTCTGCAGAATCGAATTATTAGCTCTTGAACCCCGCCTTTCTAACTTGTGTGTATTCACCTAGTTGTATTCACCTAGTTGTGTTTGCGGGGGTTGAGCTTTGCTCTTTCGGCCCGCCTATCAACTGTCAATCAACAGTTTACTAACTACTTTTTTTTTCTCCACACCATATACACACACACACACACACCAGGAAGCAGCCCGTGACAACTGTCTAACTCCCAGGTACCTATTTACTGCTAGGTAACAGGGGCATTAAGGGTGAAAGAAATTTTGCCCATTTGTTTCTGCCTGGTGCGGGAATCGAACCCGCGTCACAGAATTACGGGCCCTGTGCGCTATCCACCAGGCTACCAGGCCCGTGTGTGTGTGTGTGTGTGTGTGTGTGTGTGTGTGTGTGTGTGTGTGTGTGTGTGTGTGTGTGTGTGTGTGTGTGTGTGTGTGTGTGTGTGTGTGTGTGTGTGTGTGTGCGTGTATTCACCTAGTTGTGCTTGCAGGGGTTGAACTCTGCTCTTTCGGCCTGCCTCTCAACTGTCAATCAATCAAATGTTACTACCTAATGTTTTTTTCCCTACCACACACCCACACCCACACCCAGGAAGCATCGTGTGTGTGTGTGTGTGTGTGTGTGTGTGTGTGTGTGTGTGTGTGTGTGTGTGTGTGTGTGTGTGTGAGAAAGAGGGGTCTATCTGTAAAAAATATTCTTAGCTTCTTTTCATCAATCTTCCCCACTTCCATCAAACTCAAAGAAGCATAAAGCAAGCAGACCTTCCGCAACGGAAGGAGGACACAAGCCATTAAACCACGATAACATAAACGCAAAAGAAGCAAACGTATTAACAAAACAAAAAATCTACCTGAACTTGACCCCGTGCCTGATTCACGGAGCATCCAAGACTCCACAAGATGCAAGAGTTGCTTGGACTGATTCGAAGGAAATGAGATCTAGACGCTGTTTGTCTCCATCGTTCTTGCAAGGCTGTGAAGGGAAGGAAGCATGGAAAAAAATATCAATATGCCTCAAGGCTGCGAAGGATGAGAGAGGCTGTGGATGTAGAGGATGGAGAGAGAGGCATGAGATGAAAAATATCATCTGATCTCCAACGTGTGGGAGGATGCTGGAGGCTGGCAATCACCGCTTGGGACTAAATCGCGTAGAAAATCGATCTTGGGTTCTGATTTTCTCAGAGCGAGAGTCGCGCCCAGGTGTTGCGTGCTTATCATAGCAGTTTAAGATTGCACGTAAAACTCTTAGGAACCCGTTATCTTGAGGTTATCTTGAGATGATTTCTGGGCTTTTTTTTTAGTGTCCCCGCGGCCCGGTCTTTGACCAGGCCTCCACCCCTAGGAAGCAGCCCGTGACAGCTGACTAACACCCAGGTACCTATTTTACTGCTAAAATAGGTACCTGGGTAACAAAAAATAGGTACCCGTGCTAACAAAAAATTAATAAATAAAGTGATATGGTGTGATAAGACTTAAAAGCTGTATCAATTAGACCTTCATCCGGAATCGATTTAAGAACTCTAAAATGGATTTTATAATTGGTTTTGGAAAGATGCAAATATATAGAGATAGAATTATATGTTAAACTCGGGTAAATCACGAAGAAATTAACACGTGATGACCAATGTGACAGTGTCAGACCACGAAGGAAGGATTAAGACAGGAAATTCCTTAAGTACTTTCGCATTTAATAATACATATTCAGAGGCACCATTATACATACATAATACTAGAAGGATAATAATACATCCTTTTGAATATGTATTATTAAATACGGAAGTATTAATTAATTCTGCAGTTTCATTTATCCTCAGGCTCTTATATTCTTATCTTCAAGTAGCTTCTCCAATATCTATATTAAACCAATTAAGTAAAAGTTGAACATGCCCGGAGTATCTCCACCATCCCCATTTTTGTTTGTTATTTTTGTATTGTTTACTGAAACTGGACTACGTTAGCTACCCTCCATGCTGCAGGAGACAACACCAGTATTTACGATACCCAACAGTGACAGATTTCAATTACTTCTGAATATGACATACGAAAACCTTAAAAGTATTACAGGATACAAGACAAAGTCGGATCTCATTAACAGAAGTGACAGAAATGTCAGTGATCTTGAAATCATAATATCAGAAGATCTGATAATTAAAGATCACAAGGGAAGGCACCAGAAGTAAAGTTATCACTTGAAGTTATCACTTCAAAGGCATTAGAACAACAGGCAGACAAATGATAAGGTGGATGATGAAATCACTCAAAACATAAAACAGTTGTATTATCTTGTATGGGATATTATTCGATCCTCAAATACACCCCTTCCAGACAGGCGAAATGGCAGAGCTGGAAAATGTACATTGAAGTTATCACTTCAAAGGCATTAGAACAACAGGCAGACAAATGATAAGGTGGATAATAAAGTCACTCACAGACAAATGATAAGGTGGATAATAAAGTCACTCACAGACAAATGATAAGGTGGATAATGAAGTCACTCAAAACATAAAACAGTTGTATTATCTTGTATGGGATATTATTCGGTCCTCAAATACACCCTTTCCAGATAGGCGAAATGGCAGAGCTGGAAAATGTACAAAGATCCTTGACTACCTACCAAGCACTAAATGAACCATTTAAACAGGCGATGAGTTACAATAACGTGGCTAAAGTATGTTGACCAGACCACACACTAGAAGGTGAAGGGACGACGACGTTTCGGTCCGTCCTGGACCATTCTCAAGTCACACAATCGACTTGAGAATGGTCCAGGACGGACCGAAACGTCGTCATCCCTTCACCTTCTAGTGTGTGGTCTGGTCAACAACCATTTAAACTACTGAAACTGACTTAAACCCATACTATACTCCTTCGACTAGAGATATAATATTCACGTGAAAAATACTGGAAGTTCATGTTCTAATCCTGGACATTAAAATTTGCAACGTTTTGGAGTGAGAGATGTGATTGAAAGAGTCAAATGCATCTCATGAAATGTCAAGGTGCCGAAAGTACAATTAGAACACAGAATAAACAATAGAGGCCTGTGGCTGTTCAATTTCCTGCCAGCATAAAAAAAATTACAAAAGTATCTCTGGAACAACAGTGGAAGCTGTCAAGAGGGGGGAACTTGAAATATATTTTTGCTGCAATAGACAGATCAACATGGTTGTGACTGCTTCAGGCCACGATGACAATCAGCTTCACTTTCCATGTAATCACTAGGAAAGGTTCACTACAGGCAAAGCTGCTGGAGTAGAACTCTGGAAATTTCGAAAAATTACACACACACACACACACACACACACACACACACACACACACACACACACACACACACACACACACACACACACACACACACACACACATTATGCATTAGGAAGCGATGTGGTGGAGGCTGACTCCATACACAGTTTCAAGTGTAGATATGATAGAGCCCAATAGGCTCAGGAACCTGTACACCTGTTGATTGACGGTTGAGTGGCGGGACCAAAGAGGCAGAGCTCAACCCCCGCAAACACAACTAGGTGAGTACAACTAGGTGAGTACACACACACACACACACACACACACACACACACACACACACACACACACACACACACACACACACACACACACACACACACACACACGAAATTGTAAACGACTAAAATAGTTGACTGGAAACGACGACACAGTGACTGGATTGCTGAACAGAAACCGAGTGATGAGTTAACTGAGAACTGCATAGAAACGCTGCTACAGTTACCGAGATAACCCACTGGGAACCAGGAGAGGATTCTTGCTGATGCTCAACCAGATTGTGTCAACAGCACATGTCAATTTTGAGAATGAGAAAGAGCTTTCCATTTGACGCTCTGGTTTTTCAACTCTCAGTGCATGGTTTCTGTTGAGCAAGCTGCCGGCTGGTGCTTGTGGCGTAAAATGCCGCTGGTTAATCATAGTGATTTTTCTAATTTATAGACGCTTCTTATTGCGCATCTTTGAATTAAAAATCATTAGTTAACAACGGCTGAAAATTTTATTTAACTATTATTGGATTAAAATCATAATATCTTAGTCTCTTTTTATGGTTAGAAACATCGTAAAAATGATTCTACATTAAAAATATTCACATTTTTAATCCCCCAAAAATATATATGAAAAAATATTTTTTTCTTTTTCCTTTCACAAACCAAACAAGAATAACTATACATTTACTATGGAAACGGCTCTAAATCATTATTTATTATTCATAGTAATATTTTTTAGTGAATTAATACAAGAGAGATATGTATATTTTCTCCTACATTATATGTTTGTTGAAACGTGTATAACTTAATAGTAAAAAAAATGCTAGTTCTTTTAATGAAATTTAACTTTTAATGAAAATATGTAGCCTACGTTATATTTTTCATATATATATATTTGGGGGATTAAAATTGTGTATATTTGTAGTGTGGAATTATTTTTACGATGTTTCTAACCATAAATAGAGACTAAGATATTATGATTTTAATCCAAAAAGAACAAGGCAGTTCTGTTGTTTATAACTTTCTATGTTATATTGTATTGTATTGTATTTCCTTGTTATTGTCCTGATATTATTTGAATTTGTTTAGACTTAACCTAATCACCTATATTTTTTTGAGGGGATTATGTTGGGAGAAAAACCAGTCATTAGACGTTAAGCATCCGAATTCCGGTTGACCTCTAAAGGGTTATGAAGAAAATAAATTACAATAACGAGCTGAAAGGAAATAATCCAACCCCACATATGTGTAAGCGAGAGCGTTTCAGTCCGTCCTGAGCGCTTATGAAAGGAATTCCCCGCCCCCTCTCATCCTCCTTCGGGATTAAAAATTTTAATGGTGTTGAATTGTTAGCGATCGCCATTTCATTTCCGACGAATTAAAGTTTACAGCAATTAGGACACGACGGATTTCTCGTCACCAGACATCAAACAGATTTTAAATTTAGGTATTAAATGAATTTTGTCCTTGACATACCTGTGTTTACACATACTCTGAGGCCTCTCCGTTGACCAGGGGCTGTACGGCCTGGTCATGTGTGTCGCCGTTGTTGTGTGTTGACGCCTGGGTGAAGGTAGTCATGGGGTGACTCTCCACGGTGGCTGGTGTCATCACCTTAGCCGGGCTCTCCTGGGTGGTGGAGACCTGGCGACTCATGGATCTGATAGAGCCCCCAGCGGTGCCTCCGCCGGCCCCTGGCTGCAGAAGGGTCTCCTGCTGGGTATCGTTGCCATTGCAGGTCCTCTCTGAGCGCCACTGGCCCACGCGGTCCTTCGAAGGCGCCTGCTGGAAGCAAGGCAACACAAGCTGGAACTCCTTTCGGAAATTTTCGTTGAGCCAAGCGTAAAGAAATGGGTTATAACACGTCGAAGACATGGCCACTACATGTGTGATGAAGAAGCACAGGTTGTAATAGCCCCACTCGCTGGCCGGCGCGTAGTAGTCGCCCACCAGATGCACCACGTTCACTGGTAGCCACGAAGTGCCGAAGATCGTGACCATCGCTATGAGCATCCGGTTCGTCCGGCGCTTTCGATCCCGATCCGCTTCTTCCTTTCTGGAGCTCTTGGTCCCCGGCTTGGCCCTGACGCGCTCGTTCATGCGCACGGAGATCTTCACGTAGCAGTAGAGGATGATGATGAAGGGAACGACGAACTGCATGATGGCGGTGAATCCACTAAACACCTGCCGGATGGACTCTGAAGGCCACAGCTCCTCGCAGTAATACCTGTCCTGGTACTCCACTTGTCTGACGTAGAGCGCATACGGCAGCGTGGCCGAAATGGAGAAGAGCCAGATGCTGATGATTATGAGATAGCATATCGACAGTCGAAGGCGCGGTCGAAACGGGTAGATTATCACGAAGAACCTGTCGATGGCGATAGACATGAGCGTGAGGGTCGAGACGTAGACACTGGTGCCTTGTGCCATAGTCACCAGGTGACACAGGAGTCGGCCGAACATCCACTGACCCATGAAGGTGTAGAGAGGAGTGAAGGGCACTGCCAACACGCACAACAGTATGTCCGCCAGGGCCAAATTGGTGATGAAGTAGTTGGTGACATTCTGCATGTGCTTGTTGCGGAAAACGACGTAACAGACGAGGCAATTACCGAACACCCCGAGCAGGAAGATGGTGAGGTATTCTATGTAGAATATCGCTTGGGCCGTGGGGTAGGAGAGGATGTTGGGGTTACGGGTCGTCGCGTTGTCCCAGGGCAAGCTGGCGTTGTCGTCGTCCAGCGTGGCGTTGTCGTCCAGGTGGAAGCCTCCGACGAGCAACGTGTCGTTGAGGCTATAGCTAGCGGGTATCGACGCGGGGGCTCCGACACCCCACGACGACGACGAACTGTTTATCGTCATGATTCGCACTGAACACACTGCCGGCTAACCAGTAATGTTCACATGTTCAATGGACAAAATGTACTTGTTTGTTTGTTACACGTTACCTATGTTGGACAGACACACGTGAGTCACCCATTTGGTCATGCAACAGGTGATCTTTATCTCACAAGCTGATGATGAGTTTGACTGTCATACATGCATGACAGGCACTGATACAGTGCCTGAATCATGCCCACTGTGCCACTCAACATGAGAGGTGAAGAGACTTAGTGTTGCCACCTGCCGCCACTTGGGTGCGTGTGCGTGTGCGTGTGTTTGGGGGCGAGGAGAGAGAGCGAGGGACGGCGCGTGTAACCCCTCACGCGTCTAAAGGGCGACTGAGGTGCCCAGCGCCACCCAACTTGTTTATGCTCCATTTCCCCCTTCCCCCCTGCCACGCTCCTCCCTTTCCCCTGCCACGCTCATTCTCCATCCTCCCCCATTGGTCAAACAACTGACCCTCCACAAGATGCAACCCACAACAGCTGCCCAACTCCTGGGTTTCTAATCTATGGAAACGCGCCCATTTCTGTCCGGCATAGAGGAATTGATTACGGGATCCCGACGATTGCGAGTCTGGAACGTCGACCACTGGGCCACACGACGCATGCATATGCTATGCTAACGAGGGGACGTACGCCACTGCGTATATAAGGTCGTTGTTTACGCATGCACGTCGCTGCCTTCTCGCGCAATCCTTGACGTTATTTCAGCTGAGAGTTGGATATCATTCGATAGCATGAACACGCGCTGATGCTAAATGAATTACTAGTTAGTAATTAGAATACACACACACACACACACACATACACACACACACACACACACACACACACACACACACACACACACACGCACACACACACACAAACACACACACAAACACACATATTCCTTTCACAATGCAGTGACCCATTGCGACCTTTGACCTCCACCCAGCACTTAGATCATGAGTCATGCCCTCTCATTCTTCCCCTCTCCTCCACCTCCCTTTTACCTATCCTACTATTTCTACCCCTTCTCCTGGGTCGAAACTCTCTCTCTCTCTCTCTCTCTCTCTCTCTCTCTCTCTCTCTCTCTCTCTCTCTCTCTCTCTCTCTCTCTCTCTCTCTCTCTCTCTCTCTCTCTCTCTCCATTCCCCCGCCCCCAATGTTTCCATCAGTGCCCCCTGTTACACAGTTTTTTTTTGTTCGAAAATCGCGTTTGTTGGGCAGCATTACTTATTCTATGAGGGAACATGTCACTGTAGCAGCATGTATAACACTCCCCAATAGGAAGAAAACCCGCTGGGTTGTTTATGCTGACGCTTGTACACAAATGGGACCTAATGAGGTCAAAGGGAACAGGTCGTCAAGCAGGGAGATTTAATGTTCACCAACCTTTAAACTTAGGCTCTCCTGCGGTTGTAAAGAGTCTTTTAAGAACCTTGTCATGGGGAAAACACTTTGTCATATATATGACAAAGTGCTTTCTCAAGACAGCGTGGGATTTACTGTGTTATATATAATTGCTGAAACAATTTGATTATTATGTATAATTACAACTGTTCATTTCTCAAATTTGTTAAAAGACTTCTTGCTAAATTCTGCATTCCACCCAAGTTCTTACTCTCATTAACTTTTCATCATCTGCAAACATTGACATATGAGCTCACTCCCTCTGTTTGGTCATTTATGTACATTTCAAAGGGGCATTAGAGCCCTGGAGAATCTCACTGTCAATTATCTCCAACCTAATATATCCTCTTTAACTATGACCCTTTGTTTCTTGTCTGTATGGCATTCCTTTTCCTTGTTCAGAGGGGTTTCTTTTTCTCCTCGTCTGTCTCTACATCTTGAGCATTAGTCCCTTGTAAAGAAATGTATTAAAATATTTCTGATTGACACAAAAGAGAAATTATACTCATTTGTAATTATCTTATTTTGATGACTCTGTCAGACTAATTTGATAAGCAGGATTTTTTTCCATGCTCTTCTATTACAAAATTTAATCTTCAAGTTTCCTATAATCCTTTTTCGGTCCACAGCAATTCGGAGGGTGTGTGGTGTGAGAATTGTGCCAGTTGCCAGCATTAGGGGTTGTTAATAGGAAGTCCCCTGCATGTGGAGCTGCTACTGCTGTGAGGCGAGCAATGTATTTGCAGTATTTTGCATGGGATAGATGCAAGGGACACTGGTCTATACTTTTGTGATTCACGTCTGTTCCTTTTCAGGAATACTGGAGGAATGTTTCCCTGTTTCCAGGCAGCTCTCCTGTGTCTAGTGTTATGTTGAAAGTTTTAGTTAATAGGTAGTTATAAGTGATATATATATATATATATATATATATATATATATATATATATATATATATATATATATATATATATATATATATATATATATATATATGAATGAAAACTCACACCCCAGAAGTGACTCGAACCCATACTCCCAGAAGCAACGCAACTGGTAACTACAGGGCGCCTTAATCCGCTTGACCATCACGGCCGTCAAAAGGAAGTGATAGCCGAGGCTATTTGAGCCACTTCCCCGACGGCAACTCGGATGGTAATCTTGGGCATAGCATTTCACCAAATCACCTCATTCTTTGGGGCACACGTGAGGAACACAAATGCGAACAAGCCTGAATGGTCCCCAGGACTATATGCGAATGAAAACTCACACCCCAGAAGTGACTCGAACCCATACTCCCAGAAGCAACGCAACTGGTAACTACAGGGCGCCTTAATCCGCTTGACCATCACGGCCGTCAAAAGGAAGTGATAGCCGAGGCTATTTGAGCCACTTCCCCGACGGCAACTCGGATGGTAATCTTGGGCATAGCATTTCACCAAATCACCTCATTCTTTGGGGCACACGTGAGGAACACAAATGCGAACAAGCCTGAATGGTCCCCAGGACTATATGCGAATGAAAACTCACACCCCAGAAGTGACTCGAACCCATACTCCCAGAAGCAACGCAACTGGTAACTACAGGGCGCCTTAATCCGCTTGACCATCACGGCCGTCAAAAGGAAGTGATAGCCGAGGCTATTTGAGCCACTTCCCCGACGGCAACTCGGATGGTAATCTTGGGCATAGCATTTCACCAAATCACCTCATTCTTTGGGGCACACGTGAGGAACACAAATGCGAACTGGTAGTTCCCTGGTAGTTACCAGTTGCGTTGCTTCTGGGAGTATGGGTTCGAGTCACTTCTGGGTGTGAGTTTTTCATTCGCATATAGTCCTGGGGACCATTCAGGCTTGTTCGCATTTGTGTTCCTCACGTGTGCCCCAAAGAATGAGGTGATTTGGTGAAATGCTATGCCCAAGATTACCATCCGAGTTGCCGTCGGGGAAGTGGCTCAAATAGCCTCGGCTATCACTTCCTTTTGACGGCCGTGATGGTCAAGCGGATTAAGGCGCCCTGTAGTTACCAGTTGCGTTGCTTCTGGGAGTATGGGTTCGAGTCACTTCTGGGGTGTGAGTTTTCATTCGCATATAGTCCTGGGGACCATTCAGGCTTGTTCGCATTTGTGTTCCTCACGTGTGCCCCAAAGAATGAGGTGATTTGGTGAAATGCTATGCCCAAGATTACCATCCGAGTTGCCGTCGGGGAAGTGGCTCAAATAGCCTCGGCTATCACTTCCTTTTGACGGCCGTGATGGTCAAGCGGATTAAGGCGCCCTGTAGTTACCAGTTGCGTTGCTTCTGGGAGTATGGGTTCGAGTCACTTCTGGGGTGTGAGTTTTCATTCGCATATAGTCCTGGGGACCATTCAGGCTTGTTCGCATATATATATATATATATATATATATATATATATATATATATATATATAAACAATATGGAAGAGAGTACCACCTCTAGCTGGAAGAAGGGGGACCCATAGCCTCGGAGGAAACCACGCATAACGCATTAGAGGGAATGTTTAGATCCCCTCCAATACAGTTTCTGTGTGCTTTTCTCCTACCACCCCCTTCCTTTTTTATTTTGTGTGCTTTATTATGCATTTGATGGTTACAAGATATACATGGGAAGATATATATATATATATATATATTAGTATATTTTGGTAGCAGTCTTTCCTGTAGACATATTTTATTAAATATGACCGAAAAAGTAAGATTAATAATTCTAACACGAATTTTCTCAATCTTTCGTACATTATGCTTCACTGTTGGAGGTAAATCAAAAATCACTTCTCCAAAATTCATTTTTATTTCTAGTCTGACGCGACACGGGCGCGTTTCGTAAAACTTATTACATTTTCAAAGACTTCACAAATACACAACTGATTAGAACTTGCGTTTCCCTGATTTTATATCTACATTTGAGTGAGGTGGGAAGGGTGATGTGGCATTACATTTGAGTAAGGTGGGAAGGATGATGTGGCATTAGAGGATATTAATAGGGTATTAAAAGTATCAACACAAGACAGAACACGAAACAATGGATATTGAATAGAAGTGTTTGTAGAAAGCCTATTGGTCCATATTTCTTGATGCTTCTATATTGGAGCGGAGTCTTGAGGTGGGTAGAATATAGTTGTGCAATAATTGGCTGTTGATTGCTGGTGTTGACTTCTTGATGTGTAGTGCCTCGCAAACGTCTAGCCGCCTGCTATCGCTGTATCTATCGATGATTTCTGTGTTGTTTACTAGGATTTCTCTGGCGATGGTTTGGTTCATCCTTCCCACCTTACTCAAATGTAATGCCACATCACCCTTCCCACCTCACTCAAATGTAGATATAAAATCAGGGAAACGCAAGTTCTAATCAGTTGTGTATTTGTGAAGTCTTTGAAAATGTAATAAGTTTTACGAAACGCGCCCGTGTCGCGTCAGACTAGAAATAAAAATGAATTTTGGAGAAGTGATTTTTGATTTACCTCCAACAGTGAAGCATAATGTACGAAAGATTGAGAAAATTCGTGTTAGAATTATTAATCTTACTTTTTCGGTCATATTTAATAAAAAAAATATATATATATATATATATATATATATATATATATATATATATATATATTTATATATATATATATATAAACCATTTAGGCAAAACTATATATATATATATATATATATATATATATATATATATATATATATATATATATATATATATATATATATATATATATATATATATAAACCATTTAGGCAAAACTATATATATATATATATATATATATATATATATATATATTCTGGAAATTTAATTTGGTTCTAATTAAGGTTGCAACACTGCAACAGTTTGATCAGTATCCACTATTCTGCTAATACACTGAAGAAGAGGGTCAGATAGAGAGCAGAATCATAACTTCTATATTCCT